TCTTTCCCTTGCATATTTACCCCTCCCTAAGTGCCTTGTTCTTCTACAACATAATTTCTCATAAACCTCTCGTGCTTTTACCATTATAACCTTCCATTAATCTCATTTTTATTTTTTATATTAAAAAAAAACTTTGGTCTGTATAATAACTCCACTACTCGCACACACGTCTTATCTTAAATAACTTTGGTAAATTAAAATGGCAATATGGTAATTAAGGAGGTTGAGAAGGTTGAATTAGCAAACTATATAAAATCTAATAATTAAGCTTGGGAAGCGTGGAGACCCGCTCGTGCGGACAGGCCACTCACGCCCCCTACATAATTACTTTTAAAATGTCGTTTATTTATACTAATTTTCTATTATGCAATTTTTTTTTAGCAGCACTAAAACTATTCTATATTATTATATCATGAGCTAAAGAACAAAGTTTTAATTACAAAAGAGGGCACGAAAAGAAGTGGATTTTGTAAAGGGCCACATTGCCTACAACAAAACTTTTTTTTTTTTTTTTTTTATTTGTATTATTATTATTATAAGCTCGTCCCAAAAAGCGGATTTTACTCACTTCCCAAAACCGCTCTCTAAAATACCTTTCAAACACAGCCTTTGCCAGCCTTCGAGAACCCGTCGTGTCTATATACCATTCTCCAAGCCCCTTCTTCACACTCATTCCGAATATCTCACTCTCTCTTCCTTATATATACACACACACATCACAGACACCCAACAATATTATTCACCATTGTAGTGGAAACAACTTAGCTAGAGAGAGAAAGTGAGAGAGAGAGAGAAGAGAGAGAGTGAGTTATGGCGTCGGCCGACAAGGCGGTGGAGACTGTGATAGTGGGGAATTATGTGGAGATGGAGACTGAGGGGAAGCCAAACGACATGAAAACAAGACTCTCCAAGTTCTTTTGGCATGGCGGTTCTGTCTATGATGCTTGGTTTAGCTGTGCTTCAAACCAGGTTAATTAATTAGTTTCTAACTTTCTATATATAGCTAATATATATGTATGTGTAATTTATATATATATATATATATATATGTATGTATATATGAGGACTGTGAACTAATGGTGTGTGTGTGCTGTGATCAGGTGGCGCAAGTTCTGTTGACGTTGCCATATTCATTTTCCCAGCTGGGAATGCTTTCTGGAATACTCTTTCAGCTCTTCTATGGCGTGCTGGGAAGCTGGACAGCTTATCTCATTAGCATACTCTACGTTGAGTACAGAACCAGAAAAGAAAGAGAAAAAGTTGATTTCAGAAACCATGTTATCCAGGTAAGTAAATATATAGTACTTCAAATGTAAATCCAACATATATAATCAAGCACAGAACATTAGTTTAATCCCCGTCTCACATGGGTTAGTTCTTTATTTTTTCTTATTCTTCTCCTTCTTACAGAACATTAGTTTAATCCCCGTCTCACATGGGTTAGTTCTTTATTTTTATTTTTTTTCTTTTCCTTCTGTTTTTGGGTGTAGTGGTTTGAAGTTCTTGATGGGCTCCTTGGAAAACACTGGAGGAACGTGGGTTTGGCGTTTAACTGTACATTTCTTCTGTTTGGATCTGTCATTCAACTAATAGCTTGTGCGAGGTACTTACACATGATCTCTGACCATAAGTTTTAACTCTTTCCTAATTTTTATAATCGTAGTCAGTATTTAATTTTCTCATATAAACAAAAAGGACTTTAAACTCGTATTTATCCTTATTCACAACTGGGGTATCTTTTAATTATTTTTGATTTTGCAGCAACATATACTACATAAACGATAATCTGGACAAGAGGACTTGGACTTATATCTTCGGAGCTTGCTGTGCCACCACAGTCTTTATTCCTTCGTTCCACAACTACAGAGTCTGGTCGTTTTTGGGCCTCTTGATGACCACTTACACCGCTTGGTACCTCACTGTCGCTTCCCTACTCCATGGTCAGGTAAATACAATTCAACTCAAAAAAAAAAAAAAGACCCCACCAATTTTTAATGTCATTTTATTCAAAGTACTATTTATTTACTTAAAAATGCACAATTTTGTAGTTTTTGGAGCATTGCATGTGTGTTGTAATTAGTGCTTGTAGCTTTATCTTTGCTAGTTTTGATGAGTGGGTTTGATCACTAATGCACGTAATTTGTAATTTATGATCATGTGGATTTTATTTGATGATATATATTATTATATAGATTGAGGGAGTTAAGCACTCTGGGCCAACCAAGTTGGTGCTATACTTCACCGGGGCCACAAACATTCTCTACACATTCGGGGGACATGCCGTCACTGTGTAAGACAAGCTCGGACTTTATATTTCGAAAAATAAAAAAGTAAAAAATAAAAATGTCTTTTTCGTTATTTTCAACTTTTGCCCATCTGTTATTTTGGTTTTTCTATTAGGCGTGGTTTGGTCCGTCCTCCCTAGATTGGGTAAGATTTTAGCACAAAACGTGGGCTTAACGTCATTACTGAAAGTGACTAAACCTTCTCTTCTTTGGCCAGATCATATGGGGATCTAATTACCAAACTTTTATCAAAAAAAAAAAAAAAAAGGGGGTCCCGGATATTTTATAATATTGTTTTTTTTTATATTCCCATATTGCCCTTATTAGGCGTGGGTGGCAAAAAGGCCCTTATTTTCGTGGGGTTGGTACCACCCAATGTATTCATTCCTCTTTATAATTTGGAAAAAAGCCAATGCTCTTTTCCATCCCCTATAATTTGCTTTTGCTTTTATAATGAGTAAAAGACCAAAAGGAATCAAGGTTCTTCAATTCGATTGATTAGATTCGAAGGTCATCCAATAATTATAACCTCCCCTTTTTGAAGAAGGGAAAAAAAAAAAAAAAAAAAACAATGATTTTCTTATTCAGTCATGATGATATAGTCGCTTAATTGTCTATCCAAATATCACATCTTTTTTGTCCTCCCTTTGACCAGATTTGACTTTTGAATCAGATTCTCCACCAAAGTTCATTTGCACTTCAGCATTTTGCAAAATTTTTTTTTTTAATTTTCAGTTATTATGTGTTAAAAATGTGATTATCTATATTAAATTTTTTAAAAATTTTCATCAACACTGAAAAAATGTAAATTCAAAGATTAAGGACTCATTTAGTTTACTGATTTGAGTATTTAATTCGAGTTAAGATGTGATTTTATTTGAGAGCTTTTTAATGTGATAAAAAAGTTAGATATGATTATTTCTAAAAAAATTTTACTGTAGTAAAATTTAAATTAGTGAAATAAACGAGACATAATACTTTAAAATTCAAAGTTTAAGGCCCTGCTCAAAATTCAGGACTAAACAGTATCAATTACCCTTTTTTTCTCTTCTTTCCCTCAAAATGGGTGGATTAACATTAAACCCCAATATTATTCCGTAAACGCTATTGTTTTTGAATATTTTTGGGTTAGTGAAAAATGTTACTAGAGTTTAAATGGCTAATAAATATAATTAAACTGTGGGTTTTTTTTTTTTTTTTTTTTTTTGGGGGACAGGGAAATCATGCACGCTATGTGGAAGCCCCAGAAGTTCAAGGCCATATACTTGCTAGCTACCCTGTATGTGCTGACACTGACACTTCCGTCCGCTTCAGCTGTTTATTGGGCATTTGGAGACATGCTTCTCAACCACTCCAACGCCTTTTCTCTGCTCCCAAAATCCCCCTTCAGAGACATGGCTGTCATTTTAATGCTTATCCACCAGGTACATTAATTTATATATTCTTGCATTTATCTTAATTCTATTTTTACTTCATTTTTATCAAATTCCAATAAACTGTGCTTTTTTTTTTTTCTCATTTCTAATCTTACAACGGAGGATTCGTTCTCTAATTCGAATAATGATTTATAATTTATTATAATATTTTCTCTCACAAAAAATACATATAAATTAAAAATAATTCTAATCACATGATTCTAATTCATGAACCAAACGGGCTCGTTTTGATATAATTTTAATGGACCTATATATGACCCAAAAAAAAAATGAATTGGATGGGAATTTGTGCAGTTTATTACATTTGGGTTTGCATGCACACCATTATACTTTGTGTGGGAGAAAGCGATTGGAATGCACGAGTGCAAGAGCTTGTGCAAGCGTGCGGCGGCGAGATTGCCTGTGGTCATCCCCATCTGGTTCTTGGCCATCATCTTCCCTTTCTTTGGTCCCATCAACTCCACCGTCGGATCGCTCCTCGTCAGCTTCACCGTCTACATTATCCCCGCCCTGGCCTACATCTTCACCTTCAAATCAGCCGCTGCCAGAGAGGTAACACACTCTTTACTCTACATCAAATCGCACCTTAACATGTACCCTTTCGAAATCAAACATGCCACGTAGGACAACATGTCGGAGAAAAAGCTCTGTTGTCAATCTCAGCGTACGGTCAGAAGTTTGACCGAACAGCGTATGGAGACAGGCAAAAGAATTGTTTTAATTGAGCCGAATACTTAATAGGGTTGTGTAGTGTAAGTGCTAATTAATTAAGGAGAAGAAAAGTGCAAGTAAAATTAAGAGAGGAAGATTGCGTGTTGTCAAAGTCTAACAGATGATGCCCGGCCATTTCTCCGACACCATTACATTTTGGAACTTTTTTAAGTACACGTAAAAATAAAAAAATACATAAATTTAACGGTTAAAAAATTTAATTTATCAGTGTGTCAAGCATATAAAAAAATATCTTTATATTTTTATACATTTTTTTTCTTCCCATTTATTTGTCCAACAAGATACTTGTATATTTTTTTGGTTCAGTGTTCATTTATTAATCAAGTTGGGACTTTTCATCTTTTATTGCTTTGTTATTCGTTTTTTTCACTAAATGCACACAAGAAAGACGATGAAAAAAGAAGGAAAAAAATTATGATCAGGCAATAGTACAGTGCTGAAAAGCACGAGATTCGTGCTGTATCAATGGAGCAGAATATTGGTTCGTATCTGATTCCCCATATCTTGGGAGTACACTTAAAAATCTCTTTGCTCGCTGTAATACCAACTTTTATTGATGTACACACACATACGTTATCTGAAAACACAGTACTAAAGTGAATTTTTGGTCCCCCACGTATAATAATAAATGGTTGATGCGTTTTGTAATGAACGGTTGTGATGCGTTGCAGAATGCTGTGGAGCAGCCACCAAGGTACTTCGGAGGATGGGTCGGGACGTACGTGATCAACGGGTTTGTAGTGGCGTGGGTCCTAGTGGTGGGGTTTGGATTCGGTGGTTGGGCGAGCATGACAAACTTCATACACCAGATTGACACGTTCGGGCTTTTCACCAAGTGTTACCAATGCCTTCCTCCACCGCCCGCAGGCGCGGCGGCCCCTCGGCTCCTCAATGCCACGGCAGCACCTCCTCCACAGCACCACCCTCAATTCCACTCTCACCGCCCTTGACTTGTTCCGTACGGTGGACCCCACCTGATTATATAATGCCTCTTCAAACTATGCTTGTTAGAACTAATTGGACCTTAGAGAGGGACAAGTCAAAGACAGATCTTATAAATTAAACTCCTTCATGTGATTTTAATCTGTCTTTTGGCTAATACTATTTCCACCCAAGATTATTTCACTTTCTTTTTTAATTTCTTTTTTCCTCCTATGTATCTTTCTTCCCTGTCTTTCCAAAGCAGCTTAGGTTTTTTTGTTGTGATATCCCAAGTGGGCAAAAAAAGGAGAGATAATTTATGAAACGTTTCAAAAAAAAAAAAAAAAAATTGTACTTCTAGCTTCGATGACAATGCTTGTTAGTTGTTACATTCCATGTTTCAGTAGATAAAAGTTTACCATCTCTCCTTCAACATGCAGACTTTTTTTGTCACCAAATCTACTTGACTGAAAATTATAATTTGCTCCAAGTGCCCTCAAGTTGCTTTGGAAAAATAAAACATGTAATTTTCATCAGATTCTTGTGAATCTTTGTTCATGTGCTAGCAAGGATCTTCAGTCTTCACTCTCTTGCTACTTTTCCAGAATCATTCGGACGCAGTCTTAATGCAAGCAATATGAGTATAGAGGCCAATAAATTTGTCAATCAGATCATTTAGGATACACAATTTATACGACTTGATAAATTTTGCAGCTAATAATTCGTCTAATTTTCACTAATCTCCCCATCAACTTTTACTCGTCTTGTAATTTGTCTCTGAAATTATTTTATTAGGTACTAAACACCTTGTATTATTATTTAGATGAGAGCCTTTACGGTGAGACCTCTTAAAAAAAATTCACCGGTAAAACACTTTATTTTAATTATTAAATTAAGTTTTTAATGGTCAGATCTGCACAGATTCATATTAAAAATTTACAGTGCGCCGCACAGAATTGCTCTCTCTGCAGATCTGACCGTTAAAAAAATAATCTAATGATTAAAACAGTGTGTTCCACCAGTGAGTTTTTTTAGGAGTCTCACCGTAGAGAAAACCTATGTAGACACTTTGTCTTCCAATGATATTTTTTACACGTTCTATTATCAATATGAAACGAATATGACTAGTGAAACTAATGAAATTGTAAATCACAGTACATTATAGACAAAGGTTATAACACTTGATAAAATTTGTTGCTAAGATTTATTGTGTGCAACAGATGATGGGTACAAGTCGAAAACTTGAGCTTAAATCCATCGGAAGAAGAAGTCACGGTGATAGATTTAGAACTACAAAGTAATTAAGTGCAACAAAGGACGATTGAAGTACAAAGTATTTTGCATCTTTAACAAAAGGACACAAATTACAGCAACAAAAAATAATCATTAGATTCACTCTGTAAATTTGAAAAGCAAAAATATAGTGTATAAAATATAGAGCATTCTCAACAATGATTGAGCATGACATTCCAATTCAACTTTTTCTTTTCCATTTCACCAAATCCAATTGCTCACTGCTCTTCCCCCTTTCTTTTTTTTTTTCGCCCCAGGATTTAGGTGATGGGCATTCTGCTATTGAAAACGATAAGTCACAAAACAAAGTTGTAAAATGCAGCAGTGAAAGAGAATATTTTTTAATGCTTCTTTGTCCTTACCACATGTTTTTTCAGACCCTTTTCCATGATTATAAGAAGTGGCTAGTTTTTTTTTTTTTTTTTTTTTTTTTTTTTTTTTTTTTTTTATAAAAGATCCCAAAAAAAAAACAAAAAAAACAATCTCTCCCTCAATAATCAACTGAAAAAAGCATCGGTTATGCAGTGACCTTTTTTTGGGGTGTGATAATAAGGCTGTTTTGACATTGGTAAAATGTTGGGTGGGAATCTCATAATCTACTCATCTCCCAAAGGCCATACATTGTAGACAAAGTTAGAGTTATCTTTTAGAGACACTATTTTTATGACTTTATACGAGCATGCTACCCAACAAAATAAAAAAATAAAAAATAAAAAAGTTCTCTGCCTTTTTCAGTTCAAGCTTATGTTGCGTCCCTTGCATGGTGTCCTCCTTTATTCCGAAGATAACAAGACAATGATATGAATAAGAGCGAGACGTTGACGTGCCCTAAAAGTCTCAAATTTGACACTCATTTAGCGCGTTTTTTATTTAGATTAAAATTAGTCCAATAACATATTATAGAGGCTTTCCTTTTCACATTTTAAACCATGTATTTAAATGCCAAGGTGCGTGGTTTCATTTTTGAAAAAGAAAAAACGTAAAAATTGCAGATACAGATTTTTTTTTTTTTTTTATTGTTTTTATCTATAGGCAAATTTGCGACAATTCTAAATATACAACAACAACAACATGCTTTAATCCCAACTTAATTGGGATCAGTTACATGAATTTTAATTTTTCACACGGCTCTGTTCAAAATTAAATTTTCTTAAAAGTCTAGATCTAAAATGTCTTTCCTAACAACTTCAGTCATTGTAATTCTTAATCTACCCCTCACTCTCCTAGTATTAGGTATAAGAATGTCCTCTCAAACACGAACTGGTGCTTCTAGCAGTCTACGTTGGACATGCCCGAACCACCTCAAGCGGCATTCGCGCACTTTATCTTGTATTGGTGCTACACCAACTTCGGTCCACGATTCTAGATATGTATTTGAAAATTTGAGGTCACTTATATGCCTCCAGTTCTAGATATATACGTCACGAGTAAACAATGTTACACTTTGAATCAATGGTTCAGCTGTTGCCGGACATATTACGCAAGTTAAATTGAAATTTGTTCACTTATAAGTTATATATGCAGCATTTATCAGCATATTCTCTAGCCTGGTGAAAATAATTAATGAGCTACATTCATTCCTACTTTCTACTTACTATATATTTGTCATTTATGTGTTTTGTTTTGTGTCATTTACTGATAATAAAAATAATCATATTTGTCCTGATTAAATTAAAACGTCACTCTCTTATAAAAGATGGGTTCTACATGAGTCCTACAAGTGGAGCCCACTCTCTATGAGATAGTGTGGATTCTCCGCATGCCCTTGAATTCGTAATCCAGATGAAACCAACACTTAATTAAGAATGTGAAAGGAACACCTTGATCAACAATAAGAACTCTACAAAACAAAAAATTGAAGTAAACGAACACTGGTATAGTACCTATAGAATACGCTCCAATGCTTAAGTTAGCAAATTTAGAGAGAGTTCGGCCTCTCAAATTAGAGGAATTTTAAAAAGGGAAATAGTAGGAAATAGGTCAATATGAAAAATTTAAGAAAGTATATAGGCCATTTTTTAGTTATAAAAATTAATAGGCCATAACTTGTCAAGTTATGATTTATAACCAGATAAATTATGAACAAACTTGTCAAGTTATGGTTCATAACCAGATAAGTTATGGATAATAACTTGTCAAGTTATAGTTCATAACCAGACAAGTTATGGACGAAAACAGTAATTTGGCCTATTTATTAACTTGTGTAAACTATTGGCCTATTAATTTTAATTCATCTCAAGTCTTGGTCTATTTTCCTCTTTCTCCCTTTTAAAAATCATTGGTCTATCAAAGATAATTAGTAATGAATGGCCCGTTCAGTTCGTTAATTCGAGTTTTTAATTTAAGTTGAGATGTGATATTGTGTTAGAGTTTTTTACTGTAACAAAAAAATTAGATGTAACTATTTTTGATAGCTTTTTACTGTAATAAAACTCGAATCAGCGAAATGAACGGGGCCTGATAGAATGTGCCCACTCTTAAATTAGATGGATGAGTGATTTGGGGATAGTTGTCTCTCTTGAGCCCTACCAACAGTCAGTAGATGGATGGAGTTGAGGAAGCAAATAAAACATTTGAAATGACCATTCTAACCTTAATATTTATGGCAAATTTATATAAAAGGGACAATCATTATCATCTCTTTCTATCATAACAAACAAGAGGAAAATTACAATCCTTCCTCTGTTTAACACTCCCCCTTCTCATGCCTATCTATTCTTTCGCTCTTCCATGCTTCTTATCAAACATAGCCTTATAGTTGTTTTTGATATTTTGTTATTTTTTGTTTTAAGTTTCATCTATTTCATTGAGAAATAAATGTTTTGTTGACTTTTTCTTTTTGAAATTTTTTTAAATGTTCCCATGAAAAGCCGAAGGTAGCACAATTGACTTAAATGCTACCATGAAAAACCGAAGGTAACACAAGTATCACGATTGGATACCACAATTTTTTGACATCTGTGTTAGTTTATCAATTCATCTCAAAAGTTTAAGTTATTAAGAGGTGAGCCAACAATAATTTTATACTTTAACACTCCCCCTCACGTGTGGACTGGACAATGGGCAATCGTGTGAGTAAATTAACTAGAAAGCCCAACACGTGAATATTTAAATCTGAGATATATTAAAGACCCAACACATGATGACAATTTTAAATGGGGATAAAAAATACAATTACGGGAGTTTAAACTCAGAACTTTCTGCTCTGATACCATGTTAGTTTACCAATTTATCACAAAAACTTAAACTATTAAAATGTAGGTCAATAATAATTTTATACTTCAACTCTCTGAGCAAACTACTTCCAAGCATCATTGATAGTGGAGTCAACGAATAAACCACCAAAATTTTTTGTTTTGTGGAGAAGTTCTCGAAGAATCACGATCGAAAATCGACAGCCAATAGTAGGTTATCAACAGTTTTAGTATCACGGCAGACTACTCCCAAGTAGCACAGTGGATACTTATAGCCCCCGGTAACTATTGTTTATGTCTTAGGGTCCGTTTGGTTCGCTAATTTGAATTTTTAATTCGAATTGAGATGTGATGTTAGAGTTTTTTTACTGTAGCAAAAAAATAGATGTGACTATTTCTGAGAGTTTTTTACTGTAGCAAAACTCGAATCAGCGAAAAGAACGGGCCCTAGTGTAATACTTCTAGGGGCATATTTGATATTCAACTATGTTGGTGCCTCATTTTCTGAAGAACCTCGTTAGAATAGGGAAAATCAATCGAAGGTCTGATATTGCATTTGAGCCCAAACCAAACCCAAAATAAGCATCCTCAAGAGTTTCTACTGAAACGGCCCGGGTTTCCTACTATTGACTTGAACACTTTATTTACTATTATTTTCACAAGGGAAATTCTACAATATCATTGCCTTAATGTAGAGAATTATGAGTTCACTCATCACGTTTGATCATAGAGAATAATGGGAACATTCATCACTTTCAGCCATCTCGATCAGGCGGCTATAATTAATGGACCAAAACTATGGTAAATATCAATTATACTTTTTTTTTGTCAAAGTTTATGCAAAATTGATCGAGGACTCCTTTAGCTAACCAGTGACCATATAATATATGGTGTTTTTTCTTCTGCTTCTTCTTCTTCTTCTTCTTTTATTATTATTATTATTATTATTATTATTATTGTTGTTGTTTTTGAGTTCATAAATAAAAACCCATTTATGTCTTCGACGCCGAGCAGTGTTTGTCTGATGGTCATGGTTGGACTCCGACTTATTTGAGCACTTTCCATTTCTATCTCCATGGAATTTCAACTATTTTTAAGAAAAATACGTTCTTACGTAGCATTTTTCAATTTATTAAGCAAATACATTTAAGCCTCGTTCACTTTGCAGATTCAAATTTTCAATTCGAGTTGAGATGTGATATTTTCTGATAACTTTAATAGAAAAAGATTTTTACTATATAAACTTAAAACTGAAAACTTAAATCGGTAAAATGAACAAAGTCTTAAGAAGCATTTGATCGGGATCGAACGGTTTACGGCACTCACTGCGTGTGTAAACCCTTGGTGGGCTACACGGGATAACCTCAATGTAAGTGCTATCATGTGACCGCTTGTACGAATAATGGGCGCAGGTGCTCTGTACGATTTGCTCGGGTACCACACATGCCAATTTTCGTGTTGTTACTGCACTTGTCCTTTATTTATTTTTCAATTTGATCCTTCTTTTTTTTTTTTTTTTTTTTTTTTTTTTTTTTTTTTTTTTTTTTTTTTTTGTGGCTAGAACAAAATTGTTATTTGTACCAAAACCTAAAAAAATCTTGCCACTCGAAAACCAAACTCAACTATGGATGTTTGGCAACTTGGTATCAAAAGAAAATTGCAGTAGTTTTTAAAGTTAATTAAAATTTGTAGTTCGTCCATTTTAAATTTCTTTTTTCTCAGAAAAGAAATCCAAAGAGAAAACTTTCAAACATATGGACATGAGACAATCAACCCAAAAAAAAGAAAAAAAGAAACAAGACGGTATTGGGTAATAGCATTGATTAGATTTTAATAAAAATGGCCATACACCAATCAGTCAAATCCATTTATCTGAGAAAAGGAGGGGTAAGAGACCCATCTCGTCTGTTCAATGAAAAAGAAAGAACAGAGATCCAAGGCCATCCATTTCACGACAAATTCTGATAGTCCAAGAAGGTAATAATAATATATAGATCCACCAATTTGAATTTTCATACAAAAGAGTCGCTCTACTTTTTCCTCTTCTACTACCCAATAAAATCGCCAGTAGAGCATCCTACTTTCTGAGGAAACATATCCCACCAATAATTCACATATTTCAACGAGAATCACATTCTAGCAACCAACAAATAGATTATTTTATATATATAAAAAGTAGGCAAACAGATCATACTAATTAAGAAAAAGAAAGAAAGATTAAGAGAATTGATTAATAAACACCGGCATATATTATATGATATTTTGTGTATACACACTTGAAAAACAGAGCGAGAGTAAGCAAGCTCACTAACCAACATATACGGTGCCAAATACCCAAAACATGAAATGAAAATGAAAGGGGTTAAAAGATAAGACCGCAAGCAAATCCGAGAAGATCATAGAACCCTATCAAACCCATTCATCATACTTAATAACTGAAAAACAAAACAAAAAAAGAAAGAAAAGAAAAACCAAAAGGTGACAAACAGTGTCAATCGCTAATTCATGCCCGAAAATCAAAACTCCGAAATAACCAAATTCAAAATAAACCAAACCCCCTATAATATTATAGGTGAAAAAAACCACTTTCACCACTGGTACTACTAATAATACCACTAACACTGCTCAACGAGCACTGTTTGGACACTCCCTAGCGAAATGCCCGGACCCACCACAGTTGAAGCAGTTCCCTCCTCCGCCGCCTCCTCCGCCGCCTCCACCGCTGCCGTACCTTCCACCTCCGCCGCCGCCGCCCTGGTAGCAGTCCTTCGCCATGTGTCCAGACTCACCGCACTTGAAGCAAGCGCCTCCGCCGCCGCCTCCTCCACCGCCATAGCCTCCACCTCTGCTGCCACCACGTCCACCACCGTAGCTTCCTCCGCCATAACCGCCGCCACCATAGCCGCCGCTTCCACCACCGCGGGAGCCTCCTCTCCCCCCTCCTCCGCTGGAGCCGCCTCCGCCTCCGCCGCCGCGGGATCCTTGAACGGGAGCCTCGTCAGGGCCGGTGACGTCGACGGCCTTGGTGCGGCCGCTGGGATCTGACTCGATCACGAACTCTACGGTCTCGCCGTCAGCGAGGCTGCGAAAGCCGTCGGTTCGGATCGAGGACTGGTGAACGAAGAGGTCGTCGCCGCCATCGTTGGGGGTTATGAAGCCGAACCCCTTCTGGTCGCTAAACCACTTCACGATGCCGGTCACTCTCTCTCCCATCTCTCGTTCTCTCTTCCTCCTCTTCTGAAAACTAACAAAACCCTAAAAACCTAAACCTACCAAACCAAGAGACCCAAACCCACCGCCTACTCTCTCTCTCTCTTTCTCTCTCCTCACTGACTCATTCTATGCGTGAGACAATGAATTTTGGTCTCTTCAGGTAAAGTTATATATAAAAAGCCTAGGGCCTGATTTAGTTAATCAATTTAAATTTTTAATTTAAATTAAATTGTAATTTTATATAAAAAATTTTAATCACAATAAAAAAATTAAATGTAAATTTTTATTATAATTTTTAATTGTATTAAAATTTAAATAGGTAAAATAAATAAGATTTAAATATAATGAATACTTATAATAAACCAGATGTTTTACGAATTCTTTCGCCAAACTAAGTGGGCCTGGTAGGGCCCATTTTCTTCTTTTTTATATTTTATTTTCTATTTTTGCCTTCTTTGGGAACACAAGTGATGGACTGTTGTGATTGATGTAATCCTGTGGCTGGGGTTTTATTTTAAAATCAAATACAAATGAAGTTTGACCGTGACTGGAAGTGGATTGGTCTGAATTTTATTATTTTTCTCCGTTTGGTGTGAGAGATGGGCATCAAAAATATATTCCCCGAGAAGTACTTTGGTTTAGCCAAAAGAAGTGGCAATTACTTCTGGGAATAAAGCACCCAATTTACTCTTTTGTTTCTTAATAAAAAGCCTTCTCTTTTATTTGTTTAATAATTTGCATGTTCAACTGTTGTATACACTATTTAAATGTAAAAACTTAAGACACATGATAATCTTGTCTTGTTTTATATAGAATAGAAATCAATCTCCGGAGTCCATAGCTCCAATTTGTCTTATTGCTTTTAAATATTTTGCTTCGCTCACGGAAATAGCCGGGTCATGGTACATTACCCATTACACATAAGGTTGTGTTCTCTATGATTTTATTGACTAATTATTTTGATAATAAAATTTTTTTATGGTGGGAATATTATTTCTCAATGATGTTGTTAAAATCATATCAAAATAATTGTAAAACTCATAAAATTTATATTTATAGAGTTTTTTTGGTAGAATCTTTATATCGTAAAATCAATGTTTTACAGTTAAATCTAATTAAAGTTAGATTATATTAAAAAATTATGTAAAATAAACAATTTTGAATAGATCAGAATATTAAAAAAAAAAAACATTTTTAGAGTATTTTTTTAGTGAAGTTTTTCGAGTGGCTCAGAAACTCAACGGAACATTGGTATATCTTTACGGTTGTAGTATGTGATTAGGCCTCTATCTTTAATATTTTATACAATTCCACGTGTAACAAAATTGCCGAGAGAGAAAAAAAAAAAGCTGCAAAACCCTTTGCCTTCTTCCTCTCTCTCCTTCAATTGTCATGCTCATTTATTTTACTGATTTAAATTTTTAATTTAAATTAAGATGTAATATTTTTTGAGAGTTTTACACTGTGACAAAAAAAAATTAGATATGACATTTTATGAAAATCTTTTACTGTAAAAATTTAAAATTCAAAATTCAAATCGATAAAATAAACGAGACCTAAAAGGTCCCTTTTGTTTTTGGTTTTTGTAAGGAATTTGAAGGAAGTTAGACCCTGAGAAATGTTTAAAGAAGTTATAATTTAGCATCGTATAATATTTGCCAAATGATTGTCTCGTTTGGTATGATGGAGTTGTTGACATTCTTGAATTTTGAACTTTGATCTGGATTTTTGTTTTTTTGGTATCTCTAATGTAAAACTTTTTTGGGTCTGCAAGTGAAGGAGAAGAAGAAATCGTTTTTGGTTAAAAACCTTCTAGATCTCCAAGTGAATCCTGTCATGGGTCAAAGCAAAGAAGAATTTTGGCATGATTTTTTTTAATATTGTTATTAATTTCTGGTATAATCGTTCGGCTTTGTTGGGCATGAGATGAAGATTTGACAAAATATTTTTATTCCGATTGTGTAAAAAATTTAAGTTATATTATAATAAAAGGCTGAATTTTTCGCTGATTCGAGTTTTTAATTCGAGTTGAGATGTGATTTTATGTGAGAGTTTTTTACTGTAGTAAAAAAATTAAATATAATTATTTATAAGAATTTTTTACTGTAACAAAACTAAAATTCTAAATTCAAATCAACAAAATAAACGAAACTTTAATTTTTTTATAATAATTAAAAACTCACGTAAATTATATTTCAATTCAAATTTAAAACGCGAATAACTGCTCTCATACTTCATCAATTCAGATATGTACTTGTGTTGGGTTAAGAAGAGACAGGGGTGATGATGAAGATTTTTTATGGATTATTTTTATAAATAGCTTTAAATTTATACATTGTTTCAAAACAGTTTAAAATTATCTTTGAAATATATCACCTACTTACTTCAGAGAATTTAAAATAAAAATTTTATTATTTTTTAAAAACAATCATATTTAATTTTTTATTATAATTAAAAACTTTTAAATTATATTTTAACTTAAATTAACTGAACGGGTAAATAAAAACGCTTGAAAATGCCCCCTCTTTCAAAACTCCGTCTATAATTTTATCGATTTTACTGACATGCCTATAATTTTATCGATTTTACCGACATGCCGTGCATTAAAAGTTTAAAAAATGTATTTTAAAATGTAAATCCTTATTATGAAAAATATTAATAAAAAAAACTAATAACCAATTTATATGGACCACTGATCTAAATCAACCTAATCTCAGCCATCTTAAGCTCAGTAGCCCCATCACAAACTTCCACCCTCAACAGCCCCGTCTCAGCCTCACCTCCTCCGTGTGCCACCGTAAGAATCGAAGACCGTCCATTTCCGTCTCTCCTTCTGTTTCGTCCTTCTCTCCTCCGACAACAAGGGCGCAGCCTGCCACGAGAAATCCATGACCAAAATCACACTCAGTTGCAGCCGAAAATCTCCTCAAGGACCCTCGCACAAGCGTGGGCTCGCCGGTCCACGTCAACAGCGAGGCCATCTGCTACATCTCCGAAAATTGCAATTGCGACCGCGACGCTCGTGTGATGGAGGATGAGGGCTGCACTTTCTAGGGTTTTCTTTATCTTATGTTACTTAAAGCTATCAGCGGCTGAGATTTGTTCTATTTAGATCAATGGTTGAGATTAATAGGGGTGTTTCTGTGATTTCATATTCAAAGCTAAACCCTTAAAAATATTTCGAATAAATATAAATGAATGGATGAGATTTGATTGGTTTATATCAATGGTTGATATTAAATGAGATAATTAGTTCTTTTATTAATATTTTTCACAATAAGGATTTATATTTTAAAATACGTTTTTTAAAAATCGTTAGGTTATAGACGGAGATTGACGGAATGGGTATTTTGAAGAGTTTTTTATATTTAGGGGGTGTTTTGAATTATTTTATAAAATTAAAAGGTACTTTGAAATAAAATATATAATTCGGAGGGTATTTATAAAAATCATCTTTTTGTTTTGTTGGAAACCGAAGAAGATGAAGGTTTTTTATTTCCTTTTGCTGAAAACGAAAGAAGATGAAAGCTGCGTGATTGCAACAGAAAACTGAAACGAAATTTAATTGGAATTTGGAAGGGAAAAAGAAAAACTGAGGCGTAAAGAAAAGAAAGGAAAATAATATATTACAGCGAATTGGATTTGGCCACGTATGCTTGTGCTTGTTTACATTTAGCACCCTAACTTCTACTATAATGCGCGCATGTTCACCAATAGAAAATATACTAATGAGAGTCAATGAATGTGGAGTCAAACTATTTTTTGACTTGAACTACCGGTAATCCAAAAAAGATTGTCTCACCACACAGAAATTCCCTTTTTTTTTAACATTTACTAATAATATATTTCCTCATAAATATTTTCATAATTATTTTGGTAATAAACTGGAGACTTAAATAGTTAAAAGCACTTTTTATGGGGCGTCTGGTATGCAATAATTTTAAATATGAGAATGAGAATTTGTAAGATTATCATGTTTAGTATGAAAATTCTAATTTTTAGATTCACCGGAAAGTGAATACCAAGAGATCCACTTTCTCTCAATTTGAGGTAATTTGAATGCCACCCAATAGAGCGATATTCAGATGCCCGAGAATCTAACTAAACGTGATAATCTCACGTAAAGCCAAAAGCCACCATCATCACAAATAGACCACCACAAAAATCGTCACAGCCACCAACGACTAACCTCGCCCCGCGCCAGCCACCGTCACTCAGCCCCACCACCGTCGACCTTCGTCACAAAACCAGCATCCCGCGGGGCTCCTTCACATGAAACTCAACACCTCATCAGCCTCCGTCGTGAAACCAACACCTCGCTGACCTCCTTCGCAAAACCCAGCATCTCACCGATCTCCATCGGGAGAAACACAACACCTCGTCGGCCTTCGTCGTGAGAAACCCAACACCTCACCGCCCTCCGTCGCGAGAAATACCTTAGCGTCGTACAACATCCCCTTTGTCCTAAGGCCCTTCTTCGTCGCTCGCCATCGTCTACCCACCCCCAAATCAAGAGAGATAGATCGAGATTTAAAGAAAACGAGAGAATGAGTCAGATCGCGATAGAGGAGAGAGAAAGATAGTTATGTAGATTTTTTTAATCTTCATTTATAAATTTTTTTCTTTGAATTTTCATTAATTTTAAAATTATTAAGGGAATTCATTTTTTAAAAATTTTTATTTGTTTCTTATACTTTTTTTAAAAATATATATAAAAGTGTGAAAATTATATTCTCCTAAATTTTTTTTAAACACAACATTCCTATGCCAACCAAACACTGTAATATACTATTTATGAGAATTTGAGACAAGATTTCTGTATGTAACTAAACACAGTAATGTATTATTCTTGAGAATCATATTATCTTATATCATTTTCTCAAGAATATGATTTCAACTGATTACTGCGTACCAAACGTTCTATTAAAAAAAAGTTAAAGGTTTGGTTCGCTTCACATATTTAAAATTTTAATTTAAATTAAAATATGATATTTTTAAAAAAAATTTAACTGTGGTAGAATAAATAAAATGTAATAAACGAGGTTCTTTCCCCAACAAAATAGACACGTAAAATTTGAATAAACAACATAATGCTATTGTA